GTGGAAGGGAGGGAAGACCCTCTAAACCCCACCTCCAATATATCGTTAAGACTGCCCTTTCCACACAAGTGCCTTTTTTTAAACCAGCTTTACCCCCCCCCCCATATTTGTAAAGAGAGCCTTGTTTAAAAAAGGGCCGTTTTTGTATTAAACCAGGGGCCTTTTATGAGTGCCCATATTGGAATTCGCTCGACTGTTGCCAATTGTGCCGCCCTTTAAAGCGCTAAGCCTAAATAGTGTGTATTATCGTCCGGTTTGAACAACACCCCCATTGGAAGATGGTACCAACCCACCACTCCCCCCCCCCCCTCCTACTTTTGATTTAACGGAGATTAAATGTGCGGAGAGAAAAAACCCTGTCTACATTTAAGCACGGATGTGCAAGTGCCCTTTTCACGAACTTTTTACCCCCTTCCCATTAAAAATGACCTTGCATGCCACCCGTAGATCTCCATATTCTAGTTCACATTTTGCTACTAAAACAATCAGATTATTTCACCACTTTGCATTGCCCACCGTGGAAGCCTCAAGTCAATGATGATTACTCATCAGTCACATGTCATTACCCGAGCCCTGATTTCCTTTCTTTCCTTGGCATTCATGACGGATTGAAGTAAACATTATTATTTTTCGTCCGTAATTCTTAGTTTTTTTAAGGGTTAGTTCCTGATTTTGAGTCCGTCTATTTATTTTTTGGCAACCTTGTGGCAGGGGAATATATTTGTATCTCCAATTTTCTTGTACATCCCACGCATGTTTAAAAATAATAATAATAACCAAGCGTAATTACAATTAATTGAACATGTTATTTTAAGGCCAACCATTATTATTGCTCATTTAAAGGAATTCATTATCTTATTTGTTTTTGTCTCTGAGTGTAATACCTTATAACCAAGGACCAACGTGGTTGCCATAATAAAGAGCCGGATGGGAATTTTCCCGTTTTTTCCCAAAAGGGTTTTTCGCAAGTGTTTCACCCCTCTAGCGATTAATAATCGTGTAGGCCACATGCATGAAACAACTTCAAAAAAATAGGCGTTCTGGATATGTTACCTGCTGAGGCTAAATGAGGAATGTCCCCCAAAACTTAGTTTTGAGTTGTCGGTGTCCAAAGTTGCCTATATAATGTGTGGAAAATCACATCAAAATCGATTTTGGAATTTTCTTATTTTTAAGTAGCCAGGGTATCTGGGATTCACACTGTGTATATTTGTGGTGAAAAAAAATACCTCCAAAAGTGAAAAAATGACGATTTCTAAAAAAGTGTGTTTGTGTGAAGTTTTTCCAAAATTGTCACTAATTTTCTTCTGAACAACAAAAAATGATCCAAGTTCACTGTGAAATTTTAAGAGAATTGATTATTGTGTATGACTTTGTGTGTTACCATTCAAAAGCGTATTGCCTGCTTTGTTTATATCTAGCAGTAGCCTTGGTCAAGGCGTTCTTCATTATACGTCCGTACGGTAAGTGGCGGCAAAATGCAGTGCTTGTGAAAATACAGCGCGAACAGCGACCTCATGCGGCTAATGTGCAAATCATTTGGATTTGTGCTGGTTCCTAGACCTGACAATTATTCCCGACGTTCATGTCTAAATTCATCAGGAATAGTCAGAATCTTTTTGTCTGAAAACCAGACTACGTTTGGATCCGATCGAACGCCTTGGTCCAATTGTCGGCGAAAGCTTATGATGTTTTTGTTTTTTTTGCGCTAGATTTCTTGCGCACGGCCTCATATTGAATAGCATTTGTGCACTCTGGGACCAGCTTTACTAGGGTTATGTTACCTTGCCTTGTTTTCACTCAATTTAAACTATATTCATAAATACCTAATACAGTTTACCCATTCCTATTGGTCAAGAGCCTGTCACTTGGCTGGTCTTAAAAGGATGATAAAGACATGGCTGGCTGGTCTTAAACACTTATCCAGTGTCGCATGAATTTTGGACTCCCATGAAATGCGGTGCCTTCTAACGTTTCATTGGTTGAACGTTCACATTCCTTACGTAGGCACGCGCAATACTACCAGTGAATCAGTATTTTATAGTCCGAAATTCACACTACACCAGTTTTAATACTTCCCAAACACAAATTAATTCGGGATGTGGTGCAGGGTTTATACGGATACCCGATGTTTCAGATTTCAACAAAAACTTGTCACTGTTTTCTGGAAGAAAAAAAATCATCAACTAGTTTAAATAACCTCCATCCAGTTTTGACCGTTCGGCATTACATGAAATCAAGTTGATGTTAATACTTTTTAAAAACAATATCCAGTCATAAATAGTTATCATTCAGGTGAAGGTTGTGTAAACTATTAACAAAAGTGTTACTGCAAGATATTCTGTTTCATGACACACTGTGTTTAAAGTCCTTGTTTAAATACTTTAAATTATCAAACTCGCCTTTTTTTGAAAAATACACATCGATTAATTTTGCAAAGGGTTGCTAAAGGTTCACTCCAGACGTTGCAATCAAAAGGTTGAACAAAAATAACCACCGGTAATAACACACGATCAAGGGATTGGCGAGCAAGCGTTAGTGAACAAAATCGACAAAAAACCTGGGCCAAAAAAAAGACAAAAAAAAACTTGCGTAATAGAGTTTTATGCCTCAGAACTCTGATTTAATGAATAGTTCGAAATATATATACTATAACTGGCTGTCTTAAACACATCTATTTATCTATATATATAAGAGAGAGTTTAACTCGGCCTCCGAGACGATGTTTGCTCATGAAAGGATCCGAGACATCGGGCTCCCGCGGCGCCAAAATCGCTCCACGTCCGTGGAAAAATGCGGAGGGTGTCTTCCGCCGGGTCGGACACTTCGGGTCGTCCTGATTTTCCCGTACGGACCGGCGATCCGTTTCGTCTATTTTTCGTAACTGCATTTTGCGCAGGAATTTGCCGTCGTGTGCGCTTTCGCGTTGACTGCCTGGCCGCCCCCTGTGCTGGCTTTTCTGCGTGTCTAGACTGTGCGAGGTCAGCGGCTTCGACGTAGGGGTTCCGTTTACGTGTTCTACTCGGCCGTTCTGCAAAAGCGTTCACCAAATTGTGGTATGGGGTGACCTTGGTAAAATATTTTTTCTCCATGGTGCGTGGCCAGCAAGTGCCTCTACTCTTTCATGTGCTTCGCTTGCCGCCCCTGCGCCGAGTGCAATGAATACTCAGAAGGACTACATATTAAGTATGCCTTGCGCGGTCTGACCAATCGAAAGTCTACACTGCGTAGTATTTCCGGGCTATGCAAAACTGTCGATGGCAACGCGTACTGCAGCCTGCTCCACACCCTGCAAACGAGGTTGGGTCTACGGTGCTCGCTATTTGAAGCGCAAGCATGTGACGTGATAGAGTGCTGTTGCTTCCATAATGTGTTTACAGCTCCATGCTTCCACCACCAAGGCTGAGCGTTGTGAGTTCGCTGCCCGGCACGTATAATCATGGAGGAATAAGAATTCCTCCATGGTATAATTCAGTGTCGTGTTATAATTTCGGGGGCCTGTTTTGGGTCAACGAAGGATCGCTGCGGTCTCGGATCCTTTCAGAAGCAAACATTTCTCGGAGGCCGAGTAAAACTTGCTCTTATATATAGATGGTTGAACCAACTTGAATAAAAGTTGAATCGCAGACGGTCTCGCAAATTGTAAGAAGTTCAAGTTCACGTTTGTTGAAGAGTCCAATACTGAAACTTAATTATGACCATCCTCCATGATTCAGACCATTTGTAATTTTTTGGTAACACTCAACATTTTCATTTTTAAATGACACCTTCACGTTTTATTGCATTATGATTTATTGTCAAACTGTACAACCAGCCTTCGCCTGTGTACTACAGTAACCTTTTCACTACGTTTTCCAAATGCGACTGCCTCACAAAAAGCCAATTTAACAGACCAACGGCAACATTTACAGACAGTTGCCATGGTATATAATTATCATGTGCGTAAATCGACGGGGGACAGGGGACCCCCCACACACACACACACACATTTTGAGGGGGGACATTGTTTGGTCTCCCCTCCCCCCACACTTTTTCTTCCCCGAATAAAAATATTGTACTAGCCTACAATAATGATTCTAATGCTCAGAATACATGTAGCTGATTCAATTACTCAGAACTCACAACTTTCACAGATGATCTTTTGCTCAAATTGGTTTTAGTGATCAGAAATTGCCTCAGATCACACCACAGAAATTGCTATTCTTTAACTGCATGTCTCACCAACTATATCCCCCATTTACATTTAACTCCCCACATTTTCATCCCCAACACTACGCCCTACCCGATCTATGATCGGGTAAACCAGCTTGTATAAGATAAAGCCATAGGTCTAATTCTTTGCGAAATGGGGGCGCTGTAACGAAGCTATTTTAGGAGTACAAACACATGAGTCTGAACTTAGCACTCTGTCGCTAAAATCAAAAGTACAAACTACTTTAATCTGTTACTTCATTCAGTTCATGTCAGGCCCAATAAAACAAAACGTGTTGAGCGTCTAACCTTTTTGAAATAAAAGGAAGGAGAAGGCCCTTTTTCCCCGAAATGGCCGCCCGACCCATTTTTCATAACGACCGGCCGGACTATTTTTTAAGATGGCCGCCGCCTTGATTTTCAATGGCCACCACTTGGACTCAGGAAATGACATATCAGCTTTTACATTCTAAAAGTATGACTTTTTTTTGAAAAAAAAATCATTAACCTATCATTTCCGGTCTTTTTTATTAATTTAAAAAAAAAAAGGAAGGCGGCTTCCAAAAGGAAGCGGGCGGGGACGCTAAACGTGGTTTTTTTTTGGTGGCCTTGTTGTGTTGATCACTGACCTGTATTCAACATCTGTGTTTATGTGTTACATCAGACTAAGATTAACCGGAAATTACACATCCAAGAACAATCCGAAAATGCAAATTGCGCTATCTATAATCAGATAAGCCTAAAGTCGTTTTATCAGCTGGTCTGGCTTCCGGACGTCCTCCCGTTGACTTGTATGGGAAATACCCGGGAAATCCCAAGACAGTTTCAATTCCGGTCGATAGTCAATAAAATAACGAGCTTTCAGCAATTTGTGTCAGAAACCTACTGCAGGATTATCTCAGAGGCAGGCCAACAGGTAAGATTCCATCTTTACCATTCGCAATTATGGTAGGTTTTTTTACAATTAAATATGCCAGTTTAGGAATACGAATGTTTAAAGGATTTGACAAACAGTAATGTTCTCCACTTGGTTTCATGTCTTTTTTAAATGTGACCCGGTGTGCCTCAAGCGTTGATAAAAAACACCCTATAGGTCCTAATGTTTTTTCATACGATGGAATTTGCGTCGGGTTGATGTACAAGTCGATATTAGTTTTTGCCCTTCGCTGACGTATAAACACTGTATACTCGGTGTGTTACCTCCCGAGTGAGGGCAGGAAGTTGTGGGTTCGAGTCCAACCCAAGTGGTTCTCATCCTGGGGGCTGGATTTTACTGTGGAGGGGCGCTAAATAAATAACCAATCGCAAAAAACAGGGTTTTTAGGGGCCATTCAGAATTTTCAATGTTTTAAAATTTCGACTTTTTTTCCAAATTATTTTGACCCATCCACCCACCCCTAATTTCGATTAATAAAAAACTGAACATGTACATGTACATGCACTTGCATGTACATGTACTTGAACACCATGTACATGTGTGTCTAGTTCAGTGACGGCGTGAAGTTGTCGGTCTTCCTCTTTTATGTGACAAAATATGTGATACCTCACCAACAAGTATCTTTTAACGAAATTCAATCAGAATATTTATCAATTTTTTAAAACATGTTTAGTTGTTGTGTTACTTGTTGGTGTCCCTGCCACACTGTACGATGGTGTAGCCGTGCGTTATGCACGTGGATTGTTTACTTTCGTTTTGACGGGGACTTTACTGAATAGAGTCTGGTGACTGTACATAGAAATTTCTTTGAAGAAAAGTCGAATCGTTCATTCATGTGCACTTGTTGTGCAAAGCAGGGGCAGTGGTTCAAGGATATCTATGTCGACTTGCAAAAAGTGTGCAAGAATAATACAACGTTCACAATACAACGACGCTGTTTAGATATTTCACTGTGTGTCACAGTGAGAAATTTTGGAATCATAATGGCGTCAGCGATACTTGCTGGGGAGCTCTTGCGTACGACTTTCTGTACTTTGGTACTGTTGTTTCCAGGACAATTGTGTGTACAGTAACCCGACGTACCCAGATTTTTAAAGACGAAATTGCCGACCTCAAACTTGTTAGTGCCATATTTGGCAACTATATGTGCGTTATTAGTTTAATTAAACAAATGAACAGGTTAATTAAACATAGTACCATTGAAGGTACCTAAAAGTAAACATAACAGCAAAGAAGACCGACAGACGAACATAAAATGTTACAAAATAAACATATTTGTCTGGATAATTTTTTAGGGCGTTATCGGCAAGTTAACACAAACTTGGTGTCAAATAGATCATGGGAGTTACTTTTCTTTGACTTTTCATACAAGTTTACATAAACTTTAACTGTATGACCCGCAGTGGCGTAGCCATGGGGAGGGGGGGGGGGGGCGTGGGGGCGACAGCCCCCCCCCATGAAACCTTGTCGCCCCCCCCCAGTCGCCTCCCCCATTGAGATTTTGAGTTTCTAAAAAAATTATCATTGATCTACATGACGCCCCCCCCCATGAAATGTTCCAGCACCCCCCCCCCCCAGCGCCCCCCCCCCCCCCCCCCCCACTGAAAAAATCCTGGCTACGCCACTGACAGTACATACAGGGGACGAAGTTGGACAAGAAACACGCATCGCGATATCGGAACGTTTGCGCGTAGTTCAGGCAAGTCAAAAGATCTATCTTTCTTTGTTTTTTTATCTTTTTTCCATGGAAAGTGAATTTCGATTTTCAATTATTTAGCTTGACCCACCCACCCACAATTTGGAAAAAAGATCGAAATTTTAAAACATTGAAAATTCTGAATGGCCCCTTAGGGGGAAAAAAACGAAAAGGGGGAAAAAAGGCAGTTTAAGTTATCCCTTTATCATGGTAACTTATATGCCTGTCCTTTTCTACGGTTGCCAAATTTACGGGGGGGGGGGGGCTACTGGTTGGAGGGGCAACTACATCTCATGGGGGTCCATGCCCCCCCCCCCCCAACGCCCTCCGAAGCTACGCCGCTGGACATTGGATCATCCAAACAACCCCCATCCCCACCCCCCAATTGTTGAGGTGAAAACCCCCAAAAGGCTAGTTCTTTTAACTTTCTCACGGTCATAATTTATGAAATAATTGAGAAAAACGGAGCACAAACAATACAAAAGCTATCAATGCACTGTTTTTATATGAGGTTAGGGGATATGAGCGCGCAAGGTAGCATTTCATGTACGTCTGTGTCAGGTGGTGTCAGCAAGTTTCCAATCCAGGGGTTACTTTTGGAAACGAGGTCGAAAAAAAAAATAACCCCTATTCCACAGAATTTAGAAATCCGTAAAAGGCAGAATTATCCGTCCTTTTGAGACGTTGGTGGCAGCAAACACACCGGTCCTTGTTTCATTGTTCGCATCATGACGTAAGCAATTGAAAAGGACCAGTGTGTTTCCTGCCACCAACGTCTCAAAAGTCCCCCATTGGCAGACTACCGTGAAATTCCATGGCATTTCGATTTTTACCTGATCCAGGTGGACCTACCGATCAAAGATGAACAAGTCTACACTTCTGGTTGCTTTTCTGATGTTGGGCCTCTTCGTGGCGCCCTCTAGGGCCTGGCCGGACTGGCTCGACAGGGCTACGGATTTCGTGTGTCAAGCCTGGCAGGGGGCAAGTGACATGTCACGTGCTTACGAGTAGGTAGCATTTCCCCTTTGCAACATTAAACTATCAGATGAGATGCACATGGATTCGGCTGGGACATTCCTCAAACCAGCCTCGTCTCCTACATTTTAAGGCATGCACTCTAATATGCAGTGGAACTGGATTTCGAGAACTCTAATTTAAAGAAGTTGTGGAATGCTCGAAGACATTTCCGTCATTTTTCGGGTATATGTAGCCTAAGGTGTGATGAAATAAAAACGACTTCTGTGTCTGTCATGAAATGAGTACAAAAGGTACTTTAGAGAGCTGTTTATACTACGCTGCATCGGGAGTCCTGTTTAAGTTACGTCACGATTTACTATGTTTTGTTTGCTGCCCCCAACGACGACTTTTACACAAATTGCACGTTCGGGTCGAAACAGGACCTGAAAAACAGCTCTCAAAAGTACCTTTTGTACTCATTTCATGACAGACATAATAGTCGTTTTTATTTCATCACACCTTAGGCTACACATAGCCGAAAAATGACGGAAATGTCTTCGAGCATTCCACAACCTCTTGTTAATATAGAACACTTCAATTATGAACGACATAGTAGAGTGGAGAAAATATTTAAAGAAATAAACCCACTTTGATTTCTCAACAGTGACATGCGTGACGCTAACTTCATCGGCTCAGACAAGTACTTCCATGCACGAGGCAACTATGATGCTTCCCAAAGGGGACCAGGGGGAGCATGGGCCGCAGAGGTCATTAGGTGAGGATTTAGCTCAACGACACCGTCTTAAAACATCGTCCATATTGACATAACTTCCCATACATCGGCGCATTTACGAGGCGTTTACAAAAAAATAACAAGCAACTGATAACAAGCGGGTGGTTTTTTATTTAAATACAAGCGGCTGTTTTCGGCTTTGCCTCTCTCTCAGCGAACTGAATTTTTTATGGCGAGCCTTAACGAGTTTTATATCATCGAGCAGGGAGTAAGGCTCTAGAGGTTTCGTGATTAATAGTGCTGCAGATATGTGATAGGATTTTTCATTTGATGTTAAAAACATGGAGTTTGGCACACAGTAAGAGTATGTCATGAGAAAGATATTTGGCTATGTAGGCCATTGCAGATATGTCATTTGAAATAAAAGGTAGGTAGAAGAATAAGTAATGGCAGCCATTTTGAAAATTTTGAAAATTCCGTCGTTACACCGCCCTCATTCTATATAAAAAAAACACTGTGTTTCAAGTAGACATACAGTATTATATATTGGGTTTTCACTCTATTGTTGTTCGTCTTCCTCCATACAGCAATGCACGTGAAACATGGCAGGGTGACATCAGCGGGCGTGGGGCTGAGGATACCCGGGCTGACCAACAGGCTAACGAGTGGGGGCGTAATGGTGGCGACCCCAACGTCTATCGTCCAGATGGGCTCCCTGATAGATACTAATTTCGGGATGCATCCTGGAGCGATTGCGTCATTTCACGGTGGCAGTCTTTCGGATCCTTTGTAACACAATGAGATCTTTCTTATTCCAGCTTAAGCCTTGTCAACATTAACATCTGTGAGCTTTGAATAAAAATAATATTATGGATACTTACACAGAAAAATTAGGGGTTTTGAATTTTCAAAGAGGGAAATCAAACTTTTTTTTTTGTTAAAGAGATAGGCCCTACTAGGTACGAAGGTTCCAGGAACACAAATCGAAACTCGGACTTGAATAATTTGATTGTGCTAAAAAAACGAAAGTCGGATTTTCGTTATAAATAAAAGGCTCGATCATCCTGTTGTTCTTTAGAATGTGATCTTCACTAAGTGTTAAGATACTGTGGTTTTTTTTTTCTTTTTAGGTTGAAAGTAACGTTGTTAAGTAAACTTCTTGTCAGTTTTGTCATAATTGTCTTGTCTCATTTTTGATAAACATTGAATTAAATTAGAAACAATTTCTGTTTTGACAAAGTATTGTTTTTAGTATCGACTCCAATGAAGGTACTATTATTGCAAGTCATATAGTTACATCGTTTCTAGAGTGGTAAATCTACACATACATCAAAAAGAGACCAAAATATAATTGTGCAAGTCCGCAGGCGCACAGAAATTCATGAAAAAAATGCCACCCCCCCCCCCCCCCCGCTCTAACACACAATTTTTTTTTACTGGTAATAAGGTCTGCCTTTGGACAAAATAGCGACAGAGCCAGCTTGGTTAGGGGGTATATGTACACTATTATGTGATGTAGTGTTAATAATCGTCAGATTTTAACAGCGCCCAATTAACAGTGTGGTAAGAGTCCCCTCCCCCCTCCCCCCCCCCCCCCCCCCCCGCTCCACCCGACTATTGGTTTTTGGAGACCATGTGTCTGAAGGCAAAATCCTTGTCTACATTTAAGATTGTTTTGGCCGATGAAAACCCCATTCGAGAAAATTCTTGGATCCGCCCCTGGTCCGCCAACGTGTTCCTTTGAGATACCTAGAACTGTGCTTGAAAAAACAGGGTGGAGTATTGGGAGGGGTTGGGGGTGTATGCATTCTCGTCCACACACTGCAAGCAAAGAGACAATACAAAAATTCTGCGAGAGGTTGACCTTTATTATAGCCTGAGGATCACGAGAGGGCGGGGTTTGATCGTTATTAGTAATAACAAGAGAGGGCGCTAGGTAACCTCTCGTTGCACTCACTAGTCATCCTGTAGTTAAGGGTGCAGTGAACTAATTCAAGTGAGAATTTCTACGCGAGCTGATTAGCATAAAAAAGTGACCCACAGTTTCTTTTGAAAACGGAGACCGTTTGGCTTTAAAAACGGTGGAATTGTGTAAATGTAGCCAAGGATCAACTCCCTAGTTTTTGGGCTTTCATCTGAGGGCAGGTTTGATAAAATTACGGTTGAAAAAATGGGTCCTATTTGCCTGAGAAAGTGGAAGGATGCCACTTGTAAAACGGCTATATGCAGGCTTGGGAACTATCACTTTTCGGGAGGTGATTTTGTTTTGGTGTGAATATGAAAAAATGTAATCGGCTAGTCTACCCAAAATTGAAAAGAAATAAAAAGATGAAGTACAAGACAATAATTTAATTTTTGTTTGAGAAACCCCAGTGATGTCGGCTTGCATGTTATTTCGCCCTGAACTTTGTTGATTTTAAACTCTTTTCAATGGGGCTTGAATTGGTTCAGTGCACCCTTAACCAGGGGCTTTGTCAAGCATGGCCATAATTATGTAAACGACCCTGCCACTTCCCCCATAGACGCATGCGGTACTCCTGGCCGTAGCCAAGTTATTCTTGCGCGTCCCCACTCAAACGTGTCTGATGATTGCATGCTCCCATTCCAGCTGGTTGACACTGAATATGAGGCTTGAGTTGTTTGAAGATTTTTGACAGACTAGATTAATCAAATATAGCCCTCAACACTCCCCATAGTATCTCTATGGGGTGACGTGAGAATTTCGCCACATTTTCCAGTCCTGATTGTCAACACACGTGAGTGTCAATATGAATGAATATAGCTTAAAATCGGAAGGATTTTATTACAATACAACAAAACGAATCCTAATATATACTCAGTGGAGGACGCTCAACACAAACAAGTCAGGATTCGAAAACTATCACATTTGCTTAATTTGTATTAATTTTCACTATTCGGTACCCATTTGCGATTAGTACCCATTTGCGATCATCGTTGCCAAAAATAACATCAGGCATCCTAATGCTGTCACGTCATCAACCCGGAATTTACCTCTATAACCAATTTTACACATTTTTAAATGTTCTTGTATTTTAATATTTCGATACGTTCATTTCATTTTATTTTGAATAAGGTAACCTGTCTAAACCGAATCAGTATTCTATAGCACATATAAAACTGATGACGTCATAAAACCGGAAGTCCCGTGTAAATAATATGTAAAATGAAATATATCGATCCCAAAGGGATGTGTTGTTCAAATGAAGAAGTTGTTAAACCGGAAAAGGGTTTTAAGATCAATAACTTGCGTTCCTGTTTTTGCATGAACAATTTTTACAACCGAAATGGACAATGGCCAATGAAATACTTTCGAGCCCTTTCACCCTGCTGCGTTTGTCACAAAAACAAAAACATCAAACCTCTGGTTCATTTTGATGTTGAGAAAAAAATTATATGCTGTAAAAGTGTGTAATGTGACGGATGCAGTGCCGTTGAAATACAACAAGCCTTGCAAAAAATGCAAAGAAGGAAAATAAACAAAGCCTAGTAAAGCTGGTCCCTGACTTATTGTGTCCATTGAAGTGGTCATCCGAGTCAACTTTGTGGGAGGGGTGATACTGAAGGAAGTCTAATTCACAAGTTGATGGGGAGTCAGTCAGTCAGTCAGTCAGTCGGGGAGTCAGTCGGGGAGTCAGTCGGGGAGTCAGTCGGTGAGTCAGTCAGTCCGTCGGGGAGTCAGTCAGTCAGTCAGTCAGTCAGTCAGTCAGTCAGTCAGTCAGTCAGTCAGTCGGTCGGTCGGTCGGTCGGTCAGTCAGTCGGGGAGTCAGTCAGTCAGCCATTAAGATAAGTCGACAGAAAACTGCGCAGGTTGAGCTTCGGGGACAAGCAAACATCACGATATAACTACGTGGAAGGTGCTTACCGTGTTTTTGTGTGTAGTTATTCAAAATGGGACTTGCACTGAAACCAATTGCAATATTCTCCGGGAGGGCAGGCCCCTAAATAAAGACAGACTGAAAGGAGAATAATATAAAAAAGTAAGGAGTCATCTCAATCAGCATCCAGGACAAGATGTGGAGATGTGTGTCCGACTTAGGCTCATCGTATCGGGTATTAAATGGATTCCTTCCGGAATGAAGTTACACGCAAACTTCGCCACGGGGGCAATTTGAAACATTTAAAATAATTTGTTTTCAATTGCTGCAAACGGGCTGCTAACTGAAAACAGGGAATATTCTGCAATATTAGTGTGATGGGTATGGCTACACATCATACCAAGGACAGAATACCCGCCTGAACAACCCGCATTAGGGGCGGATCTAGCTTTCAGGAATAGCATGGAGACCGGGGGCGGGGGTTGATATTTGAGTGAACGCTTGCTCCTGCTATAGGGGGTGTGGGGGAATGCCACATTCCCCATTCTGAGGAAAGTTCAGAATAAATTGAGGAACTTTGAGTTACTTTTCATTTTTTTGGCCGCATTTTACAATTATCATGAAAATAGTTTCAGCGGCTGAACGGGGTTGGGGTGTGCAACACTCCCCCTCGATCCGCTACTGCACATTCGTTTCACAAAATAATATTCTTAAAGGGTATAGCATGGCAGTGAACTGCTTAAACAAACAAACGAAATCTTACATCGTCCACGGGGCTCAAGATCGTTAATTTTCTCATGAAGTGCCCGAGGAGATAAAAAAAGTGTTCATTTGAATAACTTGCAATGTCGTGGTGTAATTTGTAAGATCAAAGAAAAAATGATCGGTCTGCAACAATATCACTATAAGACGTTGTCGGTTTTGTTTGTGTTTTTGCAAATTACCTGGCTTGGCTGCGTCTGCGAAGACGACACCCAGGCACACCAGAAGAACCAAACAGGTAAAAGCCTTCATCTTGACTCTAAGTGAACAAGGAAATGAAAATCGTGACGAAAAACTGAAACCGGGTTTGGCCATAACATTTTGACAAATCTCAATGAATGAATTTAAACGTAAGCACTATTTTAAACAGAGAGAAGGCGTTGAAATGGAAACCATCAAAACATATACCGGTATTGATATGCCAAGGGTAACTCGACCCTGGGCGATAAAGTGCTAAATAGTTCGACCCCAAACCTTCTCTTTTAAACACGTGCTGGTATGAAAGAAAGATGTCTTTCAGTCATTTCGTGTAAATACTTCATAAGTGTCAACGCTAAAAACAAAACAAAAAAAAGAGACTTTTTTAATACTTTGTCGATGAAAGGACTTGGGGAGTAATTTACCAAAATATAATGTTTAAATCCACAGCAGGTCCGTTGCCTTGGTAACGGGCCACTATATGTTCTGGCCATTTGGGGCCAATTTTGAGGCTGTAAAAATTCATTCATTCATTCAAAGGTCATCAGGTCAAAATGCGATGTAATGTCACAAAAGTAACTATATCGTGACAAAGAATCATCCCTACCCTAATACCAGAAAAATAGAAACATTTTGAAAATTCACCTTTATATTACCTTTAGGTCCTACAATGCAGTATGTTTTGCAACCAACAAAATTGCCTTTTTTCTACCCCATTTCTAACCCTCCAAAATGCCACTTGCCAGGGCACTCAGAATAATTTCCTTTTGCCTAAGGCTAGTTCAGACATTCGTGTTTTCATATCTGTTGAGATTTTGGGACAATGTATACCCTTTGTGCAGTAGCTCTCCAAACATGGTGATTTTCAACCCCCCCCCCCCCTAAAAGTGTATTTTCATTTTTTTTCTTTGTTTTGAGTAATACACGTATAATTGGAAGTGTTCCTGAATCTAGCACATTTTCACAAACAAAAACACCCTGTGTATCCCTGTCAGACAAATGGATGAGTAGTGGGAGCCATAGTTCCGCCCCCAACACCGTGCTAGGCCCAGCCCAATCCCCCGTGCCAACGAATTTAGATCTTGTCTTTTTATATATTTATAACGAAAAAAATGTAATAAATATGTTTTCAAGTGAACACTTTAAATTACACATACTGCCTTTTCACAACCTCCCCTGCCCCCACCAGGTGCATTGTTTGGAGTTGAGGGTGGGGTGTGACCACCCATCATATAAAAAAACCAGTAATTGTACCGACAAAACCAAGTGATTGGTGGACGGTCATAACCCCAGTCTCAAACCCAAGCAATACCGCTGGGAGCAGGGGAGGCTGTAAAAATGCAGACTGTGTAATTTGTGGACTGAAAAAGTATTTATTTACATTTTTTGTAATGCAAATAACAGACAAGATCTGAATTCGATGGCAC